CCCCCCCCCCCCCCAATTCTCGGATGATCACTTCACCCCTCCCCCCACCGCGTGGCTAACAGCGGGGAATATTTCTGTTCAGCAGACCAGGAAGGGGCACCTCTGAATGTCCCCTTAATAAAATTGCCCCATTTCAACCAGGTGACCGTGAATGATATCACTCTCCTGAGGATAACAAAGAGCGATAAGGAATGGATGTTGTCTGCATGTCAGCAAACACCGGGACCATACGCTGCCATGCTTTGTTATGCAATGATTCCAGACTACGTGCTACTGGCCTGGCGTGGTAAAGTGTCCTACCATGGCGGACGGGATAAGGCAGCCCTCCCCAGAAACCTTTTGCAAAGGCTTTGGGAGTACATGAAGGAGAGCTTTCTGGAGATGTCCCTGGAGGATTTCCGCTCCATCCCCATACACGTTAACAGACTTTTCCAGTAGGTGTACTGGCCGCGATTGCCAGGGCAAATTAATCATTAATCATTAAACACGCTTGCTTTTAAACCATGTGTAATATTTACAAAGGTACACTCACCAGAGGTCCCCTGTGTGCCCTCAGGGTCTTGGGTGAGTTCGGGGGTTACTGGTTCCAGGTCCAGGGTGATAAACATATCCTGGCTGTTGGGGAAACTGGTTTCTCCTCTTCCTTGCTGCTGTGAGCTATTTACATTATCTTCATGCTCATCTTCCTCATCCCCAGAACCCGCTTCCCTGTGTGTTTCTCCATTGAGGGACTCATAGCACACGGTTGGGGTAGTGGTGGCTGCACCCCCTAGAATGGCATGCAGCTCCGCGTAGAAGCGGCATGTTTGCGGCTCAGCCCCGGACCTTCCGTTTGCCTCTCTGGCTTTGTGGTAGGCTTGCCTTAGCTCCTTAATTTTCACGCGGCACTGCTGTGCGTCCCTGTTATGGCCTCTGTCCTTCATGGCCCTGGAGACCTTTTCTAATATTTTGCCATTTCGTTTACTGCTTCGGAGTTCAGCCAGCACTGATTCATCTCCCCATATGGCGAGCAGATCCCGAACCTCCCGTTCTGTCCATGCTGGAGCTCTTTTGCGATCCTGGGACTCCATCACAGCTACCTGTGCTGATGAGCGACCTGTGCTCTCCACGCTGAGCAAACAGGAAATGAAATTCAAACGTTTGCGGGGCTTTTCCTGTCTACCTGGCCAGTGCATCTGAGTTGAGAGTGCTGTCCAGAGCGGTCACAATGAAGCACTGTGGGATAGCTCCCGGAGGCCAATAACGTCGAATTCCGTCCACACACACCCAATTCAGACCCCCTAAGGCCGATTTTATCGCTAATCCCCTCGTCGGAGGTGGTGTTAAGAAACCGGTTTAAAGGGCCCTTTAAGTCGAAAGAAAGGGCTTCGTCGTGTGAACGTGTCCAGGCTTAATTCGATTTAACGCGGCTAAAGTCGACCTAAACTCGTAGTGTAGACCAGGCCATAGTGCTTAGGTCGATGTAATTAGGTCGACACAGTGTCAGTATAGACACCATGTTGACTGCTCCGGCTGTTGGCCCCGGGGCTCCGGCTATAGACAGATTTCCCTCCACTTTGTATGAGGATTTTCCCTGGATTTTAATTGTGAGAGTGTGTTGTTAAAATATTATAAAAGCTTTTAGGAAATTCCTAGAGTGAAACCTTGTATGCCAAGTAAAACTTCTGAGTACGGCGGCTCCTATTAGCAGAAATAGGTGTTTATTGAACAAATGATGTGCATGAAGACTTTTTTTTTTAAAATTAACCATGCATGAAAATTCATATTAAATTTCTTTCTTTCGTCACAGAAAACAGTGCAGTAAAATTAATGAATGAAACCAGACTCAGTTTTCAGCCCAGAAAGAAATGCTCAATCCTATCAGAGTTCTATTTGGAATAAATAAAAAATCAACATTATTTATCTGTGAGGTTGGGTGTCAGCAGACATATCAGATTCAAAGGTCAACACCGACTTGCAATTAAAGTGAATCAGTTGGGTTTTTTTAGGTCAGCCCACAATGAACAGTAGATTACAGCTGCCATCCACTGCCTTTACCTGAAAGCTACTCCATGCAGGTGAATTCCTGTACTAAGTCACATTGAAGACGATGGGGTTTTCATGCAGTAGCTTGAAGGATTTGGGCAATTTCTCTACAATAACCTGCTTAAAGACCCAGAATGATTCACTCCTTTGAATGCAGCATTCCTTTCTTCCTGTACATCATAGCTCAACCTGGCAACCTTCATATGCACACAATACAGTATACTTCGATAAATATAAATATTTCAGTTTTCCACATTGACATCAATATTTTAAAAATATAATCTTAAATATTAAGAGTAGTTTCACTGCAATGAGTCAATATTGAAAGTTGCTTATGTTAAAGATTTTGTGCAACAGTGAAGACTTACAATATTTATACCACTTGCAAAGTGGAGAGCCTATTAGAAAAGCAGGAGGATAGATTTGATTCCATGCATTTTAGTGTTCATCAGATAGTAGCACTGAAACTGCCTGACCAACAACAGATTCATCATCCAAGCAATGAAATGTAGCAAAAGTACAGAGTTATAGTTAAATTTAGCATTGAGGATAATGTTATTAGAAATGCTATTTTAAAATGCTGCTAACCACAATCACCAAGGTGTAGTCTTTTCCTGGGTGATTGTTTTTTTTTTTTTTGGACAATTTTTGTTTGCCTTTTCTCTAGAAACGTGAGTGGTGACTTTCTGGGATAATGCACAGCCCTATGAATTAACAAAGCCAACTTCCTTAATATTTTTTGAAGTCACTATAAGACATGTAATATTTTCCTGGCTATACTGATGTAAAGAAACTCTTCACTTAAAAGTCATCCCGGTTAACGTTGTTACGATGCTGATCAATTAGAGAACATGCTCGTGGCTAAAACCCACTTCATCAGATGCATGGAGTGAAAAAAACAGTAAGCAGAATATATATTACAGCACATGAAAAGATGAGAGTTGCCTTACCAAGTAGGGAGTCAGTGCTAACGAGCCAATTCAATTAAGGAGGAAGTGGCCTATTCTCAACAGTTGACAAGAAAGGTGTATCAGTAGAGGGAAAATTACTTTTTGTAGGATGGGTCATTTGCCAATATAGCTAATGTCGCTCACAGAGATGGTTAAACTACACTGGGATAAGCTGCTCCTCCATTAGGGGGCTCTGCCAGGTTATCTGTTATTGGCAAAGCCTTTGTAGTGCACAATAGCCTTAAATGCTATGCTACTGATAGGTTTGTTATCTCTTAGGGTATACAGCAGAAGAAAGGTGTAATATAATCACCTTTTACAGCAACAGAAAGCAAACTTCCAATTGGGATTTTTGAAGTCAGTGATCTGTGTATATTTGCACAAGTCTAATTTATGCTCAGAGATGTATAATATGCATATGCAAATCTGTTATCTTTACACTCACATAACCATGGTTAATGTACAAACACATGCACCTAACTTAGAAAAGCGGGTGCTTCATTTATTATGTAACTGTCTAGACCTTAAACCATAACTACACAAACACCTAGCTAAGCCTGACAACTTTAAAATAGTTAAATGGGTTGGGGGAAATTAATTATAAACAGAACAGTGATAGAGGCAAGAAAAGATGAAATTTCATCTTGAAACATTTTGAAACAAATTGAAATGAAGTATTTCATTAGATATTCATTTATTTTTGACTTTCTCATTTTGACTTGCGTTTCAAAATTATCTAAAAAAAAGTTTCAATAAGGTAGTTTTGAACTTAAAAAATTTGTAATTTCTGTTCCATGAAAATTTCCAATTCTCAATTTTTTTGTCCTAGTTCAGGACAAATTTCAAAATGTCAGAATTTCCCACAGGACAAAAATTCCATTTTTTAACCAGCTCTATTTTTTTAAATACACAAAATTCAGTTTCTGCTTTGACAGTACTAACAAATTGAAAATGAATCAAAAACTACAAAATTCCCCTCTCAGTCGGTCAAAAAAGCTGTCCCACTTGCTGGAGATTGGAAACAAACCTGATTGCTCATTCAAAACTAGCTGCTGAAGGTGGAGCTGACATCACAAGACACATATCCTATTTCTAAATGGTAGTAAGACAACAAAATACCTTCTTGTTAAACCAGAAGGATATGATAACTACTTGTCTAAGGCACAAAGATGTATTTTGACATTGAATAACTCCAGGTTTATACACTTATACGAAATGCACCCACATAATCTAAATCTTTGTCACCAGTGCTGGGATAACCAGGTCTGGGAACTCCTCACAACAATTAAGTATGCTGTAAAGTAGCAGTGCATGGTCTAATGCAGAATGCTATGTCCATATGAAATTTGTACAGTGAGAGATGAAATACAGCATATGAATAAGCCTTTCCCCCCCCCCTTCCTAAAAGACCCTAGTCACAAAGGTTAAAAATATACACCATGAATTTGAAAGAGGTAAGTTAGGTTGAAGTATTTCACTGAGACCCAGAATTGTACAAGTCTGTGCACTTTCCAATGAAGCTTTACAAAAATACTGACCTCCTCCCGTAAAGAAATTTTTAATTGAAGATACAGTAAAAAAATTGGCATCATAATATTAACATTGTTAAGTGGTATAATACACTAAGTATTTTTTTTTATATATCTGCATTTCTGACAAAGGATCTGTGGCTTTTCTTTTGATTGTAAGAAAAGAAAAAAACACTAAAAACTTACTGGAAAGTCCTTATCAGACTCTTGTATTTGAAGAGCAAAGTTGTCTGGGAAGATTCCTTCTTTACCGTTAAGCTCTCCTTTCCACCATCCTTGTTCTCCAGTATCCTAAAACAAATAATGGTACTTTTTATTTGAACAACATTACTTAATATTTACTCATTTTATGGAGCAAGTAGAGCTCCAGAAAAAAAAGCATGCACAAGTATTCATTATATAGTACAAAACCCATCTCTTTTTACCAATGTTGTAAAATATCTCCTCAACTAAAAAAATGCAGTGTTTTTCAAGAGGAAGCATTATTAAATAGTTCAATTATATTTGGGAAGGAGCTGCAAGTAGCTCAGGGTTCGACAGAATCAGGAAAAAAAAATTCTAAGATGTCCTGACTATCCAACGTGTTTTTTTATTATTTGTTTTAAAACAAGGATTAAAACTGTTATGAATATCTATTTGAAAGGGATCTGTGAATGGAAGTAGAATAAAGAAATGTAGATATAAAAGAAACCTCCTAATGCATTGCATAACTGTAGCCACTGCCTTGGAAGACAAATTATTTCTCAGACATTCACAGATCTCTTCCAAATGTATACTTTTTTTGTATATATCTTGTTTGAATGATTTAATTTTATGAGAACTACTGGACTGAGAAAGGCAAGGGAGAAAAGTAATACGATCTGTATGGGAGGGGACAAGTTAAGAATACAGTAGAAAGAGCCAGAGAAAGATATTTTTGTTTCACAGAGTTCAGTGTGACAGCACATATTTTTGCAGGATCGAGGGCTTAATATGTTCAACCCTTTTTACAGGGTATTGCAACACCTTAATGCACAGAATCAAGTTGCCTAACATTATTTTAGTGATTCAATTTAAGGCTTTTCTTCCAACATTAATAGCTATCACCACTTTATACAGGTTGAATAAACTATTATTGAAATATGCTACTTTTGACAGTAACAACTGGCTCATTCCGTCAACAGAAGATTGGGTCCTAGCATGCATATCCAATTCAGCATTCAGCTCAGAACAGCTGCTGAATCTCAGAACAAAAAATTCATAAACACACTGAGCTAAATGAAGGAGGCAGCAATACAAGAAACTAAAACCAAATTGACACCCTGCCAGTTTATAGACTCAAAATGTTTTATCATTTCTCCCATTAAAGTCTCTTTGTAAACTTCACATCATCCTCTGGAGTTTACTAATTTTGTTAATGCCAGGAACCCAGCAATTACGAGCTTTAGTACAGAAAGGCCCCAATCTTGCAATTGGATCTGAGTGGATATAAGGGTCCTTATATATCTGATTCCATGGTCAGAGTCGAAGGGAGCCAGTTTATATTTAACACTGGATACAGGGGAATTTGAGGTGGGTGGGAGGGGTGGACACATCAGTTCCAAGCAACAATGGGAGGATAAAATTAGTACAAATTTTAAAATCTTGTTATGACTTGACTGTATCCTTATGCAAACCTAGATCTAACCGGATATGAAAGAACTCCGCCTTTACAAAACAAAATATAGTGCCACTGCTGTGTATGGCGCTTTGTAAGTAATATGCATCATCCTACAGGTTTTCAATAGCATTCCACTTATGGAAAAAACCAACAAAGTATTTATCCGCACAAACAAAATTGCAGTTTTTCTATTTTGAAAACGCAAAAACTACTTTAGGAGATGGTCACTGGCTCAGAAACTATGTTTGTCCCCATTACATTCGCTAATCTATAATTTTGCTTCCCTTTGTTTGGCAAGTGAACACAGGAAGACTGAAAAATAGAAAAGTTAATTACTCCAGCCCCTAGCTATGTTAATGGCTATGACATTAAGTGCAGAAATTTAGATAAGATCAAAAACTGGGACTGTGATAAGTATTTTTAAGAAATCTAGACTTCGCAAGCCGTGTGGTTCAGTGGATAGAGATTGGACTGGGATTAAGGACACTGGACTGGGTTCTATTCCTGACTCCACTACTGACCTGCTGTATGGCCTTGGATAAATCACTGTGTCTTTGTGTCCTTCTGCCTCCTTTTGCTAGTCTTGCCTACTTGGATAGTAAGCTCTTTGGGGCAAGAATTGTCTTAATCATTTGGTGCTTACGAAAACCTACCTAACTTCCAGGTCCTACTGTAACGCAAGCAAATAATGATAGCTACAATGATTTTCTTGTTTCACTAAAGACGTTGGAATCTCTTGAAAAAACTCAAAATCCTTTTAAAGAAGCTTAGCTTGTGTGTATTTATGCTCCTCACTGTATACTACCATGAACATGAAAACTGGATTGTAGTTAATATGCTTCCAATTCCCCACCTAAATCAATCCTCTAATATCCCACTTAGTAAAATGTGATGAATATAAAAAGAAGATTATGGACTACAGATGAGGAAAATTAAGCAGTAACAGATGATTTCCAGCCCTTTATAAAACGGATTAGGGATGTAACTGCTGCCTTTCAACACTGACTCTCTCTTTCATATCTAGCACAAATAAGTGAATATTCAGACAAAAGTTTATTCCTTTAAGTAGTGAGACAGATTGTCCACCATAAAGCAGTTTTGTTAAGTATTATGATTCTGAGATCCCAAATGTTACAAAACATTTGGATTTTCATACTGACAATAATCCTTGCTTAAAATATATTTATAACATTAAATATTGCATGTCAACATTTCAATGCAAAATTCAACTGTTTCTTTAAAGAGAAATCAACTCACTACTACAACCCAGTCCACCACACCTGGAAATCTATGGGGGAAGTGCTTGCCAAATGAAAAGTGGTTAAAATCAATAAGGAAAGGACTTATTTTCATGCTTTTATGAGATTATAGCACAGCATATGGTTAACTTCCAGGACAAACTCTGATCTATTACCAAGATAAAATAATTTATCAGAATGCTGAACAAAACAGATTAACTGGAACAGATCCGGAATTATGAGATCTACTGCTACTAAGGCCAGGTCTACACTATAAACTTACACCCCAGAGCAATGTAGTTATACCAATGTAAAAAAATCTACACCCCTGAGCAATGTAGTTATACCAACCTAACCCCAGGCGTAGACAGTTCTATGTTGGCGGGAGAGCTACTACCTCTCATGGAGGTGAATTAACTGCACCAATGAGAAAAGCTCTCCCGTTGGCATAGTGGCATCTTCACTGAAACACTGCAGCTGTGACAATGCAGCATTTTAAATGTAGACCTGCTATTTTATTCTGTACTTCAACTACATCCACGAAAACTCTGAGTGATTAGTAAACCCTTACCTTACTTATTATCTGGATAATCTCGCCTTCTTTAAAACCAAGTTCATCTTCGTTTGAACCATCAAAGGCAAATAAAGTCCTGCAATATTCCTTGACTGAAACAAAGAAGCAAAATGGTTGCATTTGCACAATGTTCTAATTTGTTGTATGAATCAAGGTACATAAATAAAAGCTCAAAATTATTGTCTTTCCTAGAAGGATAAAACTCAAAAGTCACAACTACTAGTACAATCATCTTTTGATCTTATACAGTGACCATCTTCAGTATGTTTCACAAATGTCCAGTAGAACACGCCAAAAAGAAGACACCAATATACTGTTTATTCAATTCTCCCATTCCTACAGGTCACTTTAAACATCAAAATTGAAGCTTTGCAACTAGAGTTGAACGTCCCTAGTTTTGTTTTTTGACATGTGCGTCTAGCAGAGATTTTCATTAGGGCTGTCAAGCAAATAAAAAAATTAATCGCAATTAATTGTGCAAATAATCACGTTGTTAAACAATAATAGAATACTACATTTTTGGATTTTTCCACACTTTCAAATATATTGATTTCAATTACAACATAACATACAAAGTGTACAGTGCTCACCTTATTATTTTTGAATAAAAGTATTTGCACTGTAAAAAACCAAAAAATAGTATTTTGCAATTCACCTAATACAAGTACTGTAGTGCAATCTCTTTATCATGAAAGTTGAACTTAAAAATGTAGAATTTTGTAAAACAATGTACTCAAAAACAAAATGTAAAATTTTAGAGCCTGCAAGTCCACTCAATACTACTTCTTGTTCAGCCAATCACTCAGACAAACAAGTTTGTTTACATTTGCAGGAGATAATGCTGCCCGCTTTTTGTTTACGTCACCTGAAAGTGAGAACAGGCATTCTCATGGCACTGTTGTAGCTGGTGTCTCAAGTTATTTACATGCTGTAAGAGTCATATGTCCTTTCATGCTTCAATCACCATTCCAGGGAATGTGTCCATTCTGCTTGATAACAATCCAAAGCAATGTGGACCAACACATGTTCATTTTCATTATCTGAGTCAGATGCCAGCAACAGACGGTTGATTTTCTTTTTTGGTGGTTCGGGTTCTGTAGTTTCCACATCAGCGTGTTGCTCTTTTAAGACTTCTGAAAGCATGCTCTACACCTCGTCCCTCTCAGATTTTGGAAGGTACTTCAGAGTCTTAACCTTGGGTTGAGTGCTGTAGCTATCTTTAGAAATCTCACATTGGTACCTTCTCTGCATTTTGTAAGTGCAAGTGCTGGAGGAACCAACTAGGGGCAGAACTCTTCTCGACCTGCTGCTCGCAAACAGAGAAGAATTAGTAGGGGAAGCAAAAGTGGATGGGAACCTGGGAGGCAGTGACCATGGGATGGTTGAGTTCAGGATCCTGACACAAGGAAGAAAAGAGATCAGCAGAATACAGACCCTGGACTTCAGAGAAGCAGACTTTGACTCCCTCAGGGAACTGATGGCCAGGATCCCCTGGGAGAATAACATGAGGGGAAAGGAGTGAAGGAGAGCTGGCTATATTTTAAAGAATTCTTATTGAGATTGCAGGAACAAACCAACCCGATGTGTAGAAAGAATAGTAAATATGGCAGGTGACCAGCTTGGCTTAACAGTGAAATCCTTGCTGATCTTAAACCCAAAAAAGAAACTTACAAGAAGTGGAAGATTGAACAAATGACCAGGGAGGAGTATAAAAATATTGCTCAGGAATGCAGGAGTGAAATCAGGAAAGCCAAATCACACTTGGAGTTGCAGCTAGCAAAGGATGTTAAGAGTAACAAGAAGAGTTTCTACAGGTATGTTAGCAACAAGAAGGTGGCCAGGGAAAGTGTGGGCCCCTTACTGAATGAGGGAGGCCACCTAGTGACAGAGGATGTGGAAAAAGCTAATGTACTCAATGCTTTTTTGCCTCTGTCTTCACGAACAAGGTCAGCTCCTAGACTACTGCACCGGGCAGCACAGTATGGGAGGAGGTGACCAGCCCTCTGTGGAGAAAGAAGTGGTTCAAGACTATTTAGAAAAGCTGGACAAGCACAAGTCCATGGGGCCGGATGCACTGCATCCGAGGGTGCTAAAGGAGTTGGTGGATGTGACTGCAGAGCCATTGGCCGTTATCTCTGAAAACACGTGGCGATCGAGGGAGGTCCCAGATGACTGGAAAAAGGCTAATGTAGTGCCCATCTTTAAAAAAGGGAAAAAGGAGGATCCGGGGAACTACAGGCCAGTCAGCCTCACCTCAGTCCCTCGAAAAATCATGGAGCAGGTCCTCAAGGAAACCATTTTGAAGCACTTAGAGGAGAGGAAAGTGATAAGGAACAGTCAGTATGGATTCACCAAGGGCAAGTCATGCCTGACTAACTTAATTGCCTTCTATGGTGACATAACCGGTTCTGTGGATGAGGGGAAAGAAGTGGACGTGTTATTCCTTGACTTTAGCAAAGCTTTTGACACGGTCTCCCACAGTATTCTTGCCAGCAAGTTAAAGAAGTATGGGCTGGATGAATGGACTATAAGGTGGATAGAAAGCTGGCTAGATCGTCGGGCTCAATGGGTAGTGATCAATGGTTCCATGTCTAGTTGGCAGTCGGTATCAAACGGAGTGCCCCAAGGGTCGGTCTTGTTCAATATCTGAAGCTGGATATGAGTCAACTGTGTGCCTTTGTTGCCAGGAAGGCTAACGGCATTTTGGCCTGTATAAGTAGGAGCACAGCCATCAGATCGAGGGACGTGATCATTCCCCTCTATTCGGCATTGGTGAGGCCTCATCTGGAGTACTGTGTCAAGTTTTGGGCCCCACAGTACAAGAAAGATGTGGAAAAATTGGAAAGAGTCCAGGAGAGGGTAACAAAAATGATTAGGGAGCTAGAGCACGACTTATGAGGAGAGGCTGAGGGAACTGGGATTATTTAGTATGCAGAAGAGACCAATGAGGGGGGATTTGATAGCTGCTTTCAACTACCTGAAAGGGGGTTCCAAAGAGGATGGATCTAGACTGTTCTCAGTTAGCAGATGACAGAACAAGGAGTAATGGTCTCAAGTTGCAGTGGGGGAGGTTTAGGTTGGATATTAGGAAAAACTTTTTCACTAGGAAGGTGGTGAAGCACTGTAATGGGTTACCTAGGGAGGTGGTAGAATCTCTTTCCTTAGAGGTTTTTAAGGTCAGGCTTGACAAAGCCCTGGCTGGGATGATTTAGTTGGGGATTAGGTCCTGCTTTGAGCAGGGGGTTGGACTAGATGACCACCTGACGTCCCTTCCAACCCGGATATTCTATGATTCTATGAAATCTGCAGTGAAAGTGATCTTAAAATGAACGTTGGCTGGGTCATCATCCGAGACTGCTATAACATGAAATATATGGCAGAATGCGGGTAAAACAGAGTAGGGGACATACAATTCTCCCCCAAGTTCAGTCATAAATTTAATTAACCCATTATTTTTTAATGAGCGCCATCAGCGTGGAAGCATGTCCTCTGGAATGGTGGCTAAAGCATGAAGGGGCATACGAATGTTTAGGATATCTGGCATGTAAATACCTTGCAATGCCGGCTAAAAAAGTGACATCCAAATTACCTGGTCTCACTTTCTGGTGACACTGGAAATAAGAAGAGGGCAGCATTATCTCCTGTAAATGTAAACAAACGTGTTTGTCTTAGCGATTGGCTGAACCTGAAGTAGGAATGGGTGGACTTGTAGGCTCAGAAGTTTTACATTGTTTTGTTTTTGAGTGTAGTTATGTAACAAAAAAAAACTACATTTGTAAGTTGCGCTTTCACAATAAAGAGATTGCACTTCAGTACTTGTATAAAAGTGAGTGTTGTATACTTTGTATTCTGTATCGTAACTGAAATCAATATATTTGAAAATGTAGAAAAACATCCATAATATTTAATAAATTTCAATTGGTATTCTATTGTTTAATAGTGAGATTAAAACTGCGATTAATCACGATTAATTTTTTTAATTGCGATTAATTTTTTTAAATTAATTGCGTGAGTTAACTGCGATTAAATCGACAGCCCTAATTTTTATGTTACTTCCAACAGACTGCACTCAAGCACACCAGGAATTGAAAGCTTTATGACAAAAATGCAAGCAATATTAAATATTAATGCTTTTACCATTTTAAATATTTTTGACCTATGGAGAAGAGAGTAATTTCCCTTGCATTTAACGTACTGGAGTTTTTGTGAATGGTAACCAATATGCCCTTACATGTGATAATGCTACTAATGTTAATCAGGGCTGGGGTCCTGTGTGTCAGATTAGTCAGTTATAAATGATTTCAACAATTATTGCTTGTCTCCAAGACAATGCAGGATATTTTTTATTCTATAGTCTGAATTTAAAACTAGCATATTCCTCACAGGGTCCAATCCTACAAACACTTACGCACACATTTAACTTGTAGCAGTCGCAGTAAAGTTAAACACATGCATAAGATTTGCAGGATTAGGGCTTTATAGTTTAGTTACAAATTGTAGAACTATGTAAAAACACTTGTGACAGTTTGGGAATATGTCTTTTTATAAATTCCTCTTTGTTTTATGAAAAGCACTTATAATTGTAACCTTCAGTCTGGATTAGAATTTCCATTCTGTAGCCGGAATAGATCATATCGGAAATAAACAGTGGTATTAACCTTGTATTGTTCTAATCTGGTAGAACAATGAGGTTGCTACCAGCACAGCCATTGACTTAGAGACTCTGCCCAGAACAGCTCCTGAGTGGTTGGTACATGGAACTTCCCCAGTGGAGGAAGAGAAGAAGAGAGGTAGACAAAGCCTGCTCTTAAAAGAGACAGTCTCACTAAGCAGAGGGAGCCATTTCATTGCCAGAAAGAGAAGAGAGAATCCCCTTCCCCTCCCCGTCCCCACACACACCAGGAGGAGTGGGGATGGGGGGGGGAGGCAGGAGGGATTTTGCCTTCCCCCAGGACACTGACCAAACTGAAGGACTCTCAGTAGTAGTGAGAAGTTTGAGGGAGGGAATTGGGTTCAGGTGTTTCTTGCTTTGCCTAGATCTGTCACTCTCCTGTGCTGTCCAAAATGTGTGTGTTTAAGAAGTTCCTTTGCAAAGTCTGTGTTCTTTTCTTTAACTCTCAGGTGGTCCCTAATGAGTTAAACTATTAACCAGAGTACCCATGAAAGTGGAGTCTGGGGAAGAATGCGTAGGTGACTGGAGAGACTTGGTATGTCCTGTACTGGTCTCAGGGCCTATGATATCTGGACTGCAGAGTTCCACATCCCAAAGAAGGGTGCCAGACAGATTCTGTGCCCACGGAGCGTGCCCTAGAATCCCAGAGTTTTCGTGACTGGACTCAGCAGCTTGAAAGCACATTGGATCCAAAAAGTTGGGTCCAATACAGCAAACAAGTAACCATTTACTGGAGGGGTGGGGGGGAGAGCAAGTCAGGGCTGATACACCATCTTCATCTTGTCATTTTACTATAGAATTACCAGAGCGCAAAAATCCAAGAAGGTGACTTACAGAAAAATTATCAACCACTTCTCCAACACTTAACCTATTTAACAAGTTATTAACAGTATATTTAATGCAGAAATAATTTACTCAAGGATATTGGCGTTTTAACTAGTCTTGTGCCAAGAGAAAACTGGCAATAAATAAAGGTTATTTCAAATTAAACTGCAGTTTAAGGGTACGTCTTCACTACCGGCCGGTTCGGCGGGTAGTAATTGATCTATTGGGGATCGATTTATCGCATCTCGTCTAGACGCAATAAGTTGATCCCCGAACGTGCTCCCCGTCTACTCCGGAACTCCACAAGAGCGAGAGGCGAAAGCGGAGTCGACGGGGGAGCAGCGGCCGTCGATCCCGCACCGTGAGGATGCGAGGTAAGTCGATCTAAGATACGTCGACTTCAGCTACGCTATTCTCGTAGCTGAAGTTGCGAATCTTAGATCGATCTCCCTGCCTCCCCCTCCCAGTGTAGACCAGCCCTTAGATGGAAGATGATCCACAGATTCAGTACTACAGTGCAGCAGCAGTGGTCATAGCTGTTGTCTGTTGAAAGGTCTTAAATTTGATTTACTGAAAACAAACTCAAGTTGTGGTTTCTTCAGCAAAAAGATGTTTATTTACTTGTACTAAAGACCAAAACAAACTTCCAGAAGCAGACGAGAGACACTAAAATGAAGTCCTGATCATCTAAACGTCTTGAGGAGATGTGTACTTATTTTATTAACTAATTAACTAAACATTGGTGGTTTACTTCCATGCCCATCTCCTCAAAAAGTAAGGATATTATTAATATATTTTTGTAAGAATAAACCTATATAAATTGAGATATAGTTTTCAAAACAAACAGGATATCAGATAGTCTTATTTTGTCATGTAAAAGTTATCCATCTGGTTTTCATACTGCATTTATCACCTGGGTAACTGAGCATCTGTAATATGTTAGTCCCCACACCATAGAGAGACCATCATTTAAGTACTTAATACAAATAAATCATATATATCAACATAACTGCTGATTGAAATGTGCATGCTTTTAGCCAGAGGTCTTTTTCAGACTACAGAAAAGATTGTTGATTTTCATTTAATTTTTCTCAGATGTGGATCCTCCATGTTGTTGGATTAATTCTATCTTTCGATGCATTATCCAAAATTTAAACATTAAAAACAAAACAAAATTTCTAGCCATTTTGATTGTGAAAATAGACTTCACAATGTAAACTGCTATACTGCTGGCCTGTTGAGTCTACAAGGCAGTGAGCTGGTGTCTCTCCCCCTTAACACTCTATTAGAAAGTTAGTTAACTTTTCACAGATTCTTAGATTCCAAGGCCAGAAAAAACCATTGCGATTGTCCAGTATGACCTCCTGCATAACACAGGACAGAGAACTTCCCCAAAACATTTCTTAGAGCAGATCTTTTAGAAAAATATCCCATCTTGACTTAAAAGTTGTCAGTGATGGAAAAGCCACCATGACCCTTGATAAGTTGTTCCAACGGTTAATTACTGTCACTGCTAAAAATTCCCCCTTATTTCCAATCTGAATTTGTCTAGCTTCAACTGCTAGCCATTGGAGGTGTTAGACCTTTCTCCGTTACATTGAAGAGCCCATCATCAAATATTTGTTCCTCATGTATGTATTTACAGACCATAATCAAATCACCCCTTAATCTTCTCTTTGTTAAGATAAATATATTGAGCTCCATGAATCCATCACTATAAGGTAGCTTTCTAATCCTTTAATCATTCTCATGGCTCTTCTCTCAACCCTCTCCAATTTATCAACGTCCTATTTGAATTGTGGACACCGGAACTGGACACAGGATTCCAGCAACGGTCACACAAGTACCAAATATAAAGATAAAATAAATTCTCTTCTACTCCTCAAGATTCCACTTACGCATCCCAGAGCAGCATTAGCTCTTTTTTGTCCCAATATTGCACTAGGAGTTCATGTTCGGTTGATCATCCACCACAATCCCTAAATCTTTTTCAGAGTCACTGTTTACCAGGATAGAGTCCCTCATCATGCAAGTATGTGGCTTGCACTCGGGCTTTTACCATTAGTAAGTACCATTAAAACCATCTATGTTGCGGGGGGGCGGGGAGAACAAACAACACCCCCTATACCAACATAGCTCTGCTGGTTTTTATGGATGCAAGCTAAATCTACAGAAGCCACGGTTACACCAATATAAAAGAGTGTCTACACAGGATTTTGCATCTTTAGTTAAATCAGGGCAACTGTGTGTGTGTAGACGAGGCCTTACATTTTTAGGGACAGCTCCTATGTTAATTGGATTCCATCTGTAATTATATGATCTGAATACTTTGAATTTTAATACAGGTAGAAATGTGGGAAGTCACACAACTTCTGACTTCAGTTTCCATCCATCTGTAAAGTGTGGGTAACCCACCCTACTCAGTATTTGTAAGACACTTTGAAGCTGAAAAAGCATTTTGAAAATGCTAAGTATATTTTTACTAAATAAAAATGTAAGGTCTTAATCAGAACAAGTTATTTTATTGTATACTTCCATAACTACATACATCTCCATAGATAATAGATAATACTAGGATACTTAGTGTCCTGCCTCAGTGCAGGGGACTGGGCTAGATGACCTATCGAGGCCCCTTTCAGTCCTACACTTCCATGACTCTATGACTAGAAAATAAAACCGAGGCAAATATACATTAACCTTACCTTTTGGTTTGCTTTCAGTTTCTACTTTTGTTACATCTACTGCAGGTTCTGCTTTTGTTACACTAGGAAACTGGGTTAGTTTTGGTCCCGGTGGAAGGTTAGGTAGTGGCTAAACAAATGCAAGAGAAAAAAAAGATACGCACAATAACTTATTAGAAAGGGAGAGTGCAAAATGATAAGCATTTTGTTTTGATTTGGCTATCAGACACCTTCTCATGATTTGACCATGTGAAATGGTGACAGCTCTCTTTTACAATTAGGTAATTAATTCCATATAACAAGGGTGTCATTCATTCTTTGAGACTGTCATATTACGTATTTAATTTAGTTAGGTTCTATAATTACAATATTAAGGCCACTGATTCAATAGGAGTGAGATAGCCAAGCAGCAATGCATCTTTTTCCACCAACACCATTGTGGGTGGGATTCAGTCCAGAGGAGGGTTTAGGTGCTTAGCGGTTGGAGAAAGAGCAGACTACAGGACTCCACTGTTTATCGCATCAGTTTAAGTGACAGAGCTGCTCGTCCTGACTTCTGCTCACTCCTAATATCTGCCACAGCATCCAACCAAAGCGGATAAAAACATTAGCTGGATGTTTCTGTTAAAATGAACTCTGCAGACATTTAATTTGCCATCGATCTTGTGAGTTAACATCCCGTTATGATAATGTACCAGATTTCTCCTATCCAAGACATTGTTTCAGGCTTACTGAGCCTGCAGACAAATTCAGACTGCTTAAATCACTTTCAGACATTTTCTTCACAATAGAACCAACCAGGAATTTTGATGAAACATTTTGTCAGAAAACGCTGATTCACTGAAGCTGAAACTTTTCACAGAAATGTATCAGTTTTGGCAAAACTGTTCAGGAAAGGTTTCTTAGGTCCAGGATGGAATTTTAAAACCACATAGAGAGATCCTCACCCTAGTGGGCACTCATCTGTGGGAAAATCCAGGCAGAGCAGGGACTTGAACCTGAGTATCCCACATCCCAGGCAAGTGCCCTAACTTCCAGGCTCTTGGGTATACTGGGATGGCTTCTTCCCCCTCCCCCCGCTCCCTCCCCCCCCAAAAAAACATAACAAAAGGTCTCAGTTTCAATTCAATGAGGAACAGGAAAAAATTAAATCTCAAAATTTTTTGCAGAATGGGAAAACTTTTCTGACCAACTCTTCTTCACAATCATATCAGACATTTAGGTCCTGATCCTATAACCAATACTCACCTGAGTAATCCTACTGAAACGTCTCACATCAGTAAGCACCACTCATGTGAGCAAGGGTCACTGGTCTTCCCCTTTCATTTATTAAAAACCAAATTTTGTAGAGCTTAAACAGGATCCAGATTAATACATACAAGCCAAACAGATCATAGAACCACATAAGCATCCTTCACAAAAACGTAACAGTGCTATATAAAGGAATCACTCCACCTAGCACTGAAATAAACCACCTCCAAGATGAAACTAGTTTAGCAGCACACAAATAGTTTTAGAGGGGAAGTGCAGGAAATTATATCCAATTAAAAATGCACGTGGAAGGAACCAGAATATAAATACCCCCAAGTTGGAATTTGGCCAAAGTACTGGAGTTAACTAAAGCTCGTCCTTTATCTTGCAACACAGTGCACTGTCCAAAGGTACTTAGTGGATCTGAAACATATCACAGTGGTGTAAGTTTGGACTCTACCTTCCAATCCCAGTGTGCAAAGCCCTCATCTCATTCTAACATCTCCTAAAAATGCATTTTGTCCACAACTAGTCCACAACTAGCAGCCACTACTGAATACTTTCCCACCACTCCACCAATACCATTAGAGATAATGAGTCGCATTAGCACAATTTTTTTTAAATCACATTTTACTGAAGTCTTCATTAAAATTAACTCCCTGCTCTGAGTCAGCCAGTACTCGTCTTTTCTGTGTCGTAGATTGCAAAAGTTCTTTGGAGCAGAGAAAATCTCCATAAATGCATCTCTTATAAAAGTGTCAAATTCTGGCTAGCACTTTATTATTATTTTTTTAACGGGTACATTAAATATAATTGCAGCTTCAAACAGTTTATTTCACAGCCTTTAAATTTTTCAGACTATTTTCTCACTTCACTTCCTTGCTTTGTCTTACTGATTGAGAGAGAGTCTATAACAGTTTACAGGATAAGCCTATTAAGTGAACAAAAAGACATTCTTGCTTCCATCATATATTTGGGTACTGCTATACAGTAAACCCACACAGTATAAAGTCTGCTCATCCATTAGAATCTACATCATACAAACATATCTTGGATAGCAGAACTGTTCTCCATCACATCGGTCAGAAAGAAAATAGGTGAATCCCAGACACTTCTAAAGAACGAATTTCTCACTATAAGAAAGTGATCAGTTCCACTTACATCAATCTCTGAAATTCCAGCTATGATAATATTTACATTAACATTGTAATGGCTTACAATATCTCTTACTAAGAGAAAAGAGATCAGACAAAAATGCATTTAGCCAGCTTTAAAAAGTCTACTTAAATACTTATGTAGCATGGGCAGCACAGTATGGGGAGGAAGTGACCAGCCCTCTGCGGAGAAAGAAGTGGTTCAAGACTATTTAGAAAAGCTGGACAAACACAAGTCCATGGGGCCGGATGCACTGCATCCGAGGGTGCTAAAGGAGTTGGTGGATGTGACTGCAGAACCATTGGCCGTTATCTTTGAAAACTCGTGGCGATCGGGGCAGGTCCCGGATGACTGGAAAAAGGCTAATGTAGTGCCCATCTTTAAAAAAAGAGGAGGAGGATCCGGGGAACTACAGGCCAGTCCGCCTCACCTCAGTCCCTGGAAAAATCATGGAGCAGGTCCTCAAGGAAACCATTTTGAAGCACTTAGAGGAGAGGAAAGTGATCAGGGACAGTCAGCATGGATTCACCAAGGGCAAGTCATGCCTGACTAACCTAATTGCCTTCTATGAGGAGATAACTGGCTCTGTGGATGAGGGGAAAGAAGTGGACGTGTTATTCCTTGACTTTAGCAAAGCTTTTGATACGGTCTCCCACAGTATTCTTGCCAGCAAGTTAAAGAAATATGGGCTGGATGAATGGACTATAAGGTGGATAGAAAGCTGGCTAGATCGTTGGGCTCAACGGGTAGTGATCAATGGCTCCATGTCTAGTTGGCAGCCAGTATCAAGCGGAGTGCCCCAAGGGTCGGTCTTGTTCAATATCTTCATTAATGATCTGGAGGATGGCGTGGATTGCACCCTCAGCAAATTTACAGATGACACTAAACTGGGAGGAGTGGTAGATATGCTGGAGGGTAGGGATAGGATACAGAGGGACCTAGACAAATTAGAGGATTGGGCCAAAAGAAATCTGATGAGGTTCAACAAGGACAAGTGCAGAGTCTTGCACTTAGGAGGGAAGAATCCCATGCATTGCTACAGACTAGGGACCAAATGGCTAGGCAGCAGTTCTGCAGAAAAGGATCTAGGGGTTACGGTGGACGAGATCTATGATTCTATGTTTTAAACAGGTTTATAAATCCTTCCATGTAAATATCAAAGACAAAACAATCATTACAACAGTAAGCTTTTGTTTACAAATCAGATCTTTCTATTTAAACTTATAATTTTGTGGTTGCTACTTTTGTCTTTATTTCACCCCATTGTGCTTAGATATTTCAAGAGTTTAAGAACCATGCATGAATTCTTATATAAATTGTGCTTTAATGTGCACAACAGTTCAGGATGGAGCACTCTCATTTTATTGTTGACTCTCTGGGGGATTCAACCAGACATAACCTTTTAACTGCGCTTTTCCAAATCTGAGTTAAAAACTCTCTCAGAATCTGTTTGCCCAGGACACTGTTCAAATGCTAAGCAGAGAGGTTTTCTTCAGCCTCTCAGCACTGATGAACAGTGGTGGAAGTCTCAATCAAATCATATCAAAATAAATTCCACAGCAAAATAACTATGCATATTCCCTTACCCCCCGCCAGTGCCCTACCAAACTGAACTGAATTACAAGATCAGGCACTTCCATGCATCTTCTCTCCTAATACAAGGAAAAAAGGGGGCGTAAGATGAAAATTTAAAGGCAGCAGGAATGGCAAACTGATTTAAAAAAAAAAAAAAACTTGTTTTTTAATGACACAATACACAGGTAGTCTCTGGAACTCTCAGTCACCAGGTAACATCAAAGCCAAGAACCCAATAGGATCCATAAAAAGGACTGGACATTTATATTTATAAATAAAATTACTACCCACAATCTCTAAGTACCTCAAAATATTTAACATATTTATCCTCACCCATGTCTTGTGTCACACCCATATAAGATGTGAAGTATTATCACCATTTTACAGGTGGGAAACTGTGGTACAGAAAGACTAAAGGATTTGCCCAAAGTCACAGGAAGCCTGTGGCAGAGCCGAGAATTTAACCCAGGTCTGCAGAGTTCAATGCTAGCACACTAAGCACTGGACACTCCTTCCTCTACAATGAAGATATAAAAAATGAGTAACAATTTAAAATGTTGGCAGGGATATAAACACGCCCAAGTCAGGGCATAAGACAGGATACTGGACTAGAGGGCTCACTAGCCTGATCAGATAAGGCAACGTTTTTAATGAACAATGTTAAGGCTGCAATACCTGTAACGTAATGAGATATAAAAAAGTTTGAACAGTACAAAAAAATGGTTCGAGAGCAAAAAAAATATTTTCCATTGTGCACTGTAACCAGATGTTTAGTCCAACATTAACTGCAGAGTTTTTCCCTTTCAGTACACTACTGCCTATTACTACAGTAATCAAACCAAATAAGATAGAAGAATCAATCCTGAGCTCTGGTTGTTTCTGAATCAATTTTTTTTTAAAATATAAATTATAAGATTCATGCACTTCTTGGTTGCATCAGAAGCAGAAGTATAAAAATCTCATGAGTAAGAATATTTTCATTATTTCTACTACTGAAATCAGGAAGTCTCACAAAAACTCCTGTTCTTGTGAAAATACAAGATCAAACAGGTTCAAATGAAGTACAGATAAGCACTGAAACCCTTTACATTCACTCATGACTACTTTGGGCAGAGCCATACCATTAGTGGGGTAAGGGGCGGGGGGGGGTGTACATATATAATACTAATAAGATAATCATCTGGTTCAGAAGGTACTATTTTCTTTTTCCTCTCTTCTATTGCCTTGTGACAACACAGAGTGATCATTTTGAATGGATGGTATCCATCACTTTTGTTTTGTGTTTTGAAGCTTACTTGAAATACATACACCTCTACCCCGATATAACGCTGTCCTCGGGAGCCAAAAAATCTTACCGCATTATAGGTGAAACCGCGTTATATCAAACTTGCTTTGATCTGCCGGAGCGCGCAGCCCCGCCCTCCCCGGAGCGCTGCTTTACCGCGTTATATGTGAATTCGTGTTATATCGGGTCGCATTATATCGGGGTAGAGATGTATTAGTTTTTAAAAAGCACAGGACAGGTGTGAATTCCCTTTTTTATTTCTGCAATACACTGATACTCTGCTTTTCTGTATCTCAATTTCCCGCTTTGTGAAATGGGGATGTTAAACGACTTCATGGAAGTGTTGAGAGATCTAATGCATTTATAGCTGTAAGATCCTAGGACAGAAGGTGCTCTAATTACCAGGGTTTTCATTTTTTTAAATTAAAGATATTAACAATATGGTTTTAATTTGGATTCTCAAGCCAAGACAGCATGCTCAAATATGGGCTACCACAAACCTTATCTTGCTTTTTCTCCTCTGAATCATTACTGGGTAATCTCGTTTTAAGTTTCACTGAACCTTCTTTAAAGATATCTCCAAACCCAACTCCTCGGATTTTCTTTGGCTGTGCTATTGGTCCAGCTCCAGGTTCATTTCCATTCCCTGGAGAGGCCACAGGTGAGGGAGAGCCAGTGACAAGAGATTCTGAAAAATTGAGAGAAAATGGTTTTAATGTATACGTTAATAAATGCCAATATTACTATTAATCAGGCAGTCTGGAAATCAAATCAGAAAATTGTTCCTTTGTATAAATGTCTTTGTGTACACTGGTCTTGCCCAATAGTCCTTAGAATTGCAGTTCCATCCTTAAGTTCACACATTTCCTGCTACCTAGATATTTAGAAAGACTCTACGTCTAAGAAGCATTTCAAGGAAGTTTACAGTGCCACTATTTCTGCACCAAATGTGTATTGGTAGCCCTTAGCCACCATCAAGAAATCAGATCACTGATTTTTGGCCTGATTTCTCAAACATCAGCCAGGAAGGCAATGAGACCTGTTATCTTCATCAGCTGTACATTTTTTCACCAGCTCTGATGAAATATGCTCCTGCATCTTTTTGACCTAGTATTTTTATTTCAAAATGGTGTAACAAAGTTTGCATGCGTTATTGCTTTCAGCAGCAGCAGCTACTCAACTCGGAAGTGCTGCAGAACACCTCATAGTTAATTCTTCCATGTTCGGACAGCCAGAGCAAAAGGGCAATTGTGGTCTGATTAAACATTAAAGAAAGGATGTTTTCCATCAAAGCTACTAAATTAAACTTTCCCCAGCCCTCGAACAACTGATGAAAATAACTGAAATCAATTTCACTTTAATTATTACTGTTATTTTTAAAGAGTTAATTATGAACAGGTTAAAAAAGTATCTAAATTCTATTTTTATGTTACTTTTCAATACTTTTCAACCAGATGTAGTTGCCCAAGTTTAATCACTGTTAAATGGTGCACTATTTAAAACTAAAAAAAAAAAAAAAAGATTGAAAAATGGTGTTTCTTAAGGGAACGGAGTCGTTTGTTTGCGAATAATGAATGTCACTACAGTTGCATGCAGCTGATGGTCAGGAATTCAGGACCTAGGACAGGGGTGGGCAAATTTTTTGGCCTGAGGGCCATATCTGGGTATGGAAATTATATGGCGGGCCATGAATGCTCACAAAATTGGGGGTTGGGGTGTGGAAGGGGGTGAGGGCTCTGGCTGGGGGTGTGGGCGGGTAGTCCGGGCTGGGATCGAAGGGGGATCAGGGCTGGGGCAGAGGCGCAGGAGGGTGTCAGGGGTGCAGGCTCTGGGCGGCGCTTACCTCAAGCAGCTCTCAGAAGCTGCTTCATGTCCCAACTGCGGTTCGTACGTGGAGGCATGGCCAGGCGGCTCTGCACGCCGCCCTGTCCGCAGGTGCCGCCCCTGCAGTTCCTGGCCAATGGGAGCTGTGGGGGCAACGCTTGGGGCGGGGGCAGCATGTGGAGCCCCCTGGCTGACTTACGCATAGGAGCCAGAGGGAGGACAGGCCACTGCTTTTGGGAGCCACGTGGAGTGGGGCAAGCCCTTGACTCCACTCCCCGGCTGGAGCTCGAGGGCCAGATGCAGCCCCCGGGCCATAGTTTGCCCCATCTCTGACCAAGGAACTGCTTGAAAATGTTTTAGCTTAAAAGACTCCCACACTAGTATTTACAGGCAAACTGGCTTTCCACCCGCAGTATGCATGGACAAAATAAAAGTCATTTGAAACTTAAAACTCCAATTATTTATCAAACTCAAAATACCCTTTCATATCATTTAACTTTAGCCCTTCAACTCGAGCTCTTTCTAGGGTATCAACTCCTACGAAAGCCACTCCCCTCCAGCTCTTCTTCCAACTGATAAGAAGCCTCTAGGCTACAAGATGCATGTTGGTCTTAAAGGATCACATGCTTATGGGGGGCTTACTCAATTGTTGCTGTCTCTGGCAAACAGAGAAAAAAAAAATAATGCTGCTCAAAATATAATGCATGGTAGCTATTGGCAACCTGATTTTCAAAAGTGCTGAGCACCTGCAACTCCAAGTGCAGTTACATGTTCAGCATTTCTGAAAAAAACAGATCCTTAATAGCTACCACCAGAAAATAGGCTTTCATTGCTGTTATGCAGGGCACTATGTTTGGAAGTGAAAATAATAATTTTAAGGGCAAACACTGGATTTGTAAGTTTACCAGCTATTTTTAAACCACGTAATCTTTAGTCCTGATTCACAGAACAGCTGCTAAACTAATGCCTGAACTGCTCAAACCGTTCACACTTTTGTCATGCTTCTAATAACTTTTCCAGCACTGATGCAAAACATGACCCACATTAGAGTATTCTCTCTTCCAACTCTAAGCACCACCTTGCCAGAAACTAAAAGCTCAGAGCCCCTTGCAACTAAAGTACAGTCTACTGAATTTTTTGCAATGCTCTCTTTTCCTTGATCACTATGTAGCTGTCAAAAGAAAACAGGTCTTAAGATCAATTTTTAGTGTTGATTTGTTTACTTTGCATATCACTGTGGACAAACAATGTTCTATATGAGCAACACCACGGTAGCGAGTTTCTCTTCTTCAAACTGTAAAGCCTTCTCTAAATTACAGTTTACAGAAACTAGATTAAGTCATTGCATTTCTTATAAACCATACATTTGCTTGGAGTTCCTATCAACATTATGATGCTTTTCAGCTATTACAGTCTACTTCTGCCATTCTCCTGGCCATGCACCCATAACCACAAAGGATTCCACTATCTGGATTGAAATCTGATGTAATCCTAAAGTGATATGAATTAATAGTTGCTAAGCTTGTAATATTAAAATGGGAAATTCATCAAGGACACAAGACACGGCATAATGAGGATGTATCATACATTACTGCTAATGGTGATCAGAGAATTCAGCATCCCCTCCTCCTAAAATTAAACACTCCATGTGAAGTATTGCAAATTTACTGATACATTTATATTGCTTTAGGCCTATTGCCAAATCCATTCAGGTTAAACTCTTAGTGCTAGCTGGCAGTGTCATGACTATCAGAATGGGGTGAGAAAAACAAAAAAAACAAATACTTACTTCTTGATATGAAGGAATTATAATTTTAGGTCCCAATGCTAAAACTTAACTCTAAGCATATGAATACTCCTATTATTGTTGATGTTACGCACCTGAGTAAGTGTTTGCACGATCAGGGCCTTAACCTTAATTTTGTGATTGGAGACATAAGGAAAAATGTTATGTAACTACATTTTTGTGAGGTTCTCTCAAATTATTTCTGTATTGCCAGTGTTCTACTTGCTTTACACAAAGACATAGTTCCTGCCCTCACAATCTATATAACTTTCCTTTCACTATTGCTGTAGCTTTCCAAAACTAAATCCTTGATATAAGTAACTATGATAAGGGTACTGTATTCTAGATAATATGACTGATTATTACCTGTGTCCTCCGGGACTTCTTGTGTTTCCCCATCATCTGTCAATTCTAATTCTTTTACAAAGTTTGAAGGAAATAATCCTGACTTGCCATTTAGTGTTCCACTCCACCAGCCTTCTTCTACCTGTAAAAAAAAAAAAGATATTTCCCATGTTAGTAATAAAGCAAAGGGAAACAAACTCACTGATACTGCAATAAATACCTATGGCAGTATAGTTAAGAGTAGGAATTCAAATAATTCTATCACAAGACACTATACCTACACAATATGAAGCTAGCAAATACTTTGAAAAAGTTCAAAACTTCAACAAATTTTAAAATGAAGAAAATCATGATGGACACAATGGCAGCCATATCTCAAGAAATGTGTTTTATCACTACTTTTCTCAGCACAGCAATTATTCTACAGCATAAGAGGGACCCTCATTACTTCTATTTTGAGTGGCAAAGATAATTGAAACTAATTATCAGCGGACAGATCTCTTTTTCCTCTCTTTCCCAAGTAGAATTCTACAGGCTGCCCAATAATCAAGTGATCCACATTTAATGGGAAGGAAAAATATTAAACTGGTTGTAAAATAATGGATGCCAATTTTTACTATTTTGCCAGTGGAGATAAGAAGTCGTGCTTAGGAGTTAAAGCCATTGGGACCACATGGTGAACTTTAATGTCCCGATTCTTGGGACTCACAGGATTCCAGATTCTTGGTGTTAGTTATTCCATGACACTCCTTCAGCTGAAGTATTTTTAAACCATTAAGGAAACTGTATAATTTAAAGCAGAACTAAAAACAGTCTGACATGCCTAGATCATAAAGAAATGGGGGGGGGGAAATAACCTGCTGGCACTGTATAAGAGACATGCTATCAAAATCATTTTAAGAACCATAAAGTACACAATCCACTCTTTTTAAATGAATGCCAGTTAAGTATACTACAAAAGTTGCAGTTTATTATTGTTTTACTTTGTGGTTTGAAGATTTGTTTTACATACAGAGGACAAAAAGTAGCAGGAAAATATATTGAGAAGTTGTTTACATGGTATGTTTTAGTCTCACGTATTAGGTTTCTGTGCCTGACCCAGGGCATGCTTTTTAAATGAAAGCTCATTTTCTTCATTTGAGTGGAAAGATTTACTGTTCAAACAGTAAATCTTTCCACTCAAATGAAGAAAATTCTCGAATACGATTGCCTGATGAGATGGTGACTGTTTTTGGGTAGTCAATGTTAGGCTTTTTCCCCTGTCACTGATCTGCACTTAAAATTCTGTCGTTGCTGATCTGGTTTTAAAAATCTCGGATTCACTGATTGGCACATTCTATATGGGACGGAAATAAAAAACTGGTGTCCTAAGCCTGCTTATAAATGTTCCTAAATAGCAAAAGAAAGGAATTGTTTGCTCAGTTATCACAGTTTGCCAGTTTCCTCCTCAGGCCCCATTCAGCTTTTTGCACCCCAAACTGTACTTCAAGAAGAAGGTGATAAAATTAGCCATGTGTGCTATTCCTAACATGCAGCACTGAGTAAAGTATCACTGGGAAAGCTATTTACCTTGGAGGTTCTTCGAGACATGTGATCCCTATCAATATTCCACTGTGGGTATGCATATGCTCCATGCACCCCCAGGAGATACAGGGCAGAGCAGACAGACCACCTCTCCAGATCCTCCTCCTCTACCGTGGATCCAGGAATGATGTGAAGCAGAGGGGAAGGAGGACAAGTAGAAGAATACAAATAGGGATCACACAACTTGAAGAATCTCCAATTATTAAAAGTAACTAACTTGCTCTTCCTCATGGAGTGCTGGTCCCTATGTATATTCCACTGTGGGTGACTGACCAGCAGTGCTCAAGTAGGAGGAAGGTACGAGGATACAGGAGGCAGAGCAGTTTGAAGGCCCACCATTCCAAAGGATGCATCAGTGGAGGAGTCCTGTACTAAAGCATAATGTCTTGCAAATGTGTGGATGAAACTCCACATAGCTGCTTTGCAAATGTCAAGTAGAGGTATTTCCTGAAGCAATGCCATTGATGTTGCTTGTGCTCTTGTAGAATGAGCCTGCACCCATTGAAGCAGAGGAAGATTAGAGAGCTCATAGAATGAGATAGCACTTGAGATCTATTTAGGGATCCTCAGAGGATAGAGCTTGACCTCAAACTCTTTTTCTGACTGGATTTGTCCTTTGCAGATAAAAGACTACGGCTTGTCATGCTTCAAGGGAATGAAGTCTCCTCTTTTTCAGATGTATGTGGTGGGGGGGGGGGGGGGGGAAAACACAGGTAAGTGAATTGACTGGTTCAAGTGAAACTCTGAAACGACTTTGGCTGTGAACTTAGGATGTAAATGCAATGAGACGTGGAATATGGCAAAAGACAGATCTATCATCAGTGCTCTGAGCTCGCCCACCCTCCTGCCTAAGGTGATGGCCACTAGGAATGCAACCTTCACAGGCAGGAAAGACATGGAACGTGTAGCCACTGATTAGAATGGAGAGTCAGCACTGAAAAACCAAGGTTTAAGTCCCACTGAGGAGTAGGTTTCCTTACTGGAGGACAGATTCTGATTAGACTCTTCCAGACTCTGGTAGTCAGTGAGTGAAAACTGAATAACCATGTGAAGTTGGGTGGTACATACTGATTGCTGCCAGGTGAACCCACAAAGAGTTCATGGGAAAACCCACTGTATTGAGGGAAATAAAATAGTCCCGAATAAGGGGAATACCTTCAACTTCTGGGAATATATACATTTCTGTTGCACCCAGACAGAGAAACTTTCCACTTGGCTAAGACCTGGTCTACACTAGAAAATTAAGTTGGCATAACTACATCGCTCAAGGGTGTGAAAAATCCATACCTGTGAGTGGTATAGTTAAGCAGACCTAAGTCCCTGTGTAGACAGTGCTAGGTTGATGGAATAATTCTAACGTCAACCTAGCTACTGCCTCTCAGGAAGGTGGATTACTTAGGCCAAGAGAATCTGGCATAGGCAGTGGTGAGCTGGAGCCGGTTCGCACCAGTTCGCGCGAACCGGTTGTTAAGTTTAGAAGCTGGTTTAAAACCGGTTGTTAAAGGGGTGGACAAACTCTGGCCCGCGGGACCGTCTTGTCCAGCCTGCCTGAGCTCCCGGTTGGGGAGGCTCCCCCGGCCCCTCCCCTGCCTTTCCCCCTCTTGCAGAGCCTCAGCGTGCTGCACCGCCGGCACCAGCGCTCTGGACCGCTCCTGGGCAGCTCTGCAGCTTTGAGCGGCATGGTAAGGGGGTGGGGCTGCGAGATCCAGCGGGCCGCGCGGCATCGATACACGCTGCCCTGAGGAGCATGGTAAGGGGGCCTGGGCTGGGAAGAAGGGTTAGATAAGGTGCAGGGAGCAGTTGGAGGAGGTGGAGGTTCGGGGGGGGGGGGGGGGGGGGGGGGGGGTCGGGGGGGCGGTGGGGGGGGGGGGGGAGGGGGTGGGGGTAGTCAGGGGACAGGGGGCAGGGGAAGTTGGGTAGGGAGCGGGCCCTCTGGGGCAGTTAGGGTGGGGGGTCTCAGGCTTATACTCACTGGGCGGCGCTTAATAACCGGTTCCCTACCGAGCTGTCGGCGGCAGGTCGTTCACTCGCTCCAGGTCTTCGGCAGCACTGAAGGACCCACCGCCGAAGTGCCACCGAAAACCCGGAGTGAGTGAAGGACCCGCTGCCGAAGTGCCACCGAAGACCCGGTAGGGAACCGGTTACTAACATTCTGGCAGCTCATCACTGGGCATAGGTAGTGTCTACACTGAAGCGCTGTCATGCTGTCTTCAACAATGAAAAAACTGACTTTTGAAATGACATGCGTGATTCTGGAAAGAAATTCAATTAGCAATTTGAATTCCACCATGTGAAAAAAATAGCTGTACTTGCTTTGATAAGATACTAAATAGCTATGGACTTTGGCATTATCTAATCTTAAAACTTTAGCTATTCAAAACTCTGCCTTCCATTTCATATAATCTTTTTCTGTTCTGACATGAAATTAATACCCAGATTACAAAGAGTTATTTACAGTTTCAACTCAATCACTGCATTTTGTAAGTGATACAGCATGAAAGTTTAGAAGACAGTTCTGTGCTAACTATAGTACATACATTTGTGACACATCAACAAAATTGATTTAAAATAGGTAGTATTATTTCTGGACGTGTGGAACATTAGAAAAGCAACTTCAAAGGCAAAAAGTGTTTTATTAGATCATGAGACAATCCCTTCCATTTTTCAGATTCTTAAAAAAAAAAAAATCACCAACCTTGATATCACCTACAGGAGTGCTGCCCAAAACTCCCCGAAAGCCTTGGGTGTACAGAAATGTGAACCCCACTCTTAATTTCCTGCTAAGATCACCTCTTCCTTTCTTAGCAAAGGGGTGGTATAACAACATGAACAGAATACTTTTATTTCCTGGTTACAATTCCTGCCTCTGCCAGGTACAGAATTATAACCCAACAACCTGATGTGTGGTTAAATCAGGTAGATCTTACAAGAATTATAGCCCTCAGAAGCCAAACCTTCAGTGTCCAAACATCTAACTTGTCAGCATATCTCCCTGATCTACAGAATCCATGTAAACTGACTCCCAATTATCCAAGCCTATTTTTTTTTATCACACAACCAATTTGAATATTTGAAATTCTACTGCATTACACTTGCATGTAACAGGTTCAGTATTGACCACAAGAGGGAGTTGCACTACTACTACATTCACTAAACACCATCTGTACATAGTGGTCACTAGGGAAGTTGCATAGAAACACTCACAAACATAACCACTGCAACAAAAAATGGGATAAAAATTGTGATTTTCAGATGTCTAAACAGAGGAGAAACTGACCCAAGCAAGCAAGCTCACTCCCAACCTTCAGTCAAAAAGAATCCAGTTCTGCTGCTAACAAACACTTACCAATTGTAAGCTTGAATATTGTTCTAAACACTGATGTTACATAATTTAAATCAAATGAACTACTGGGCACACATTTAAAACTATCAGCTGTAAATGAAAGATAGATACATGAATGAGACTGAATGACAGGACGTTAGTATTTATTGTTTTACAATTCTCAAATGTGTGCTAGGTGCTTAACAGGACACATTAAAACCTTGACTGACAGCTGGACAAAAGTGAAATTGGTAGGGAAAGCAGGTTTCTTATATGGCAAAATTGAGGGAAAATTGTACTGTGCTTTTGGTAAGTTGCTTTTTTTTGTTGGTCTATATCTGTCTTCTCTTCAAGTTCTTCAAGGCAGGGACTGTTTTAATCCGTGTATGTACACTGCCTAGCACGAAGGGCTCAACCCTGGCTGAGGTCTGTAGCTGCTGCAGCTATAGAATATACATTATGTAGCAGCAGCAGTAGTAAATGTAGTAGCAGAAGTAATAAATATTACTACAAAGAAGGTCCCAGTCAATTAATTTACCATCTACTTCTACTTAGATTCTAAGCGGCTTGGGGCAGGGACTGTCTTTTGGTTCTGTTTGTATAGCACCTAGCACAACGGGATCATGGTACAAGACTGGGGCTCTTAAGCACTATGGTTATACAACTCAAATAATAACAATAATAATAATAATGATGATGATGAGCAGGGGTAATAAACAGTGAGAAAGAAAAGACTGAGGAAACAAAGGGCTTACAATAGAAAGATTATACAGTTACTCAAGTTAGTCTATGCATTTTAAACATTAAAACAAATGCTTTTTAAACTGAACTAATTACTGAACCTCTTCTGACAGCCACTGGGAAGAGAGATCTCTTGAGGGACTCAATCTGGCATAGTTTATTATTATTTTTTTTAACACAGACAAGCACGTTCATAGAATTCTCTCAAGCCTGAGAGAGAAGGGAATTATGTTATTGTCATTTATATAATATCTTCTGTCTCAAGATTTACCAAGGAGCACTTTGGTCCCTCATTGAAATCAGCAACCTATAAGGCAAGCCACATTGGGTATGTTTTCTGTTTTGTAATGGTTTCCTGGCACTGTTCACAGTCCTGGTCTTGCATCCGGTTTTGTGTCTAAATAGCACCAATTCCCCCCTTTGTCAGCTTTATCCTAAATCACACTAGAATTATCATCAACAGCAGCTCTACAGAAGTGTCCTGCTGTATGATTGGTGGAATGCAGATTATCAGCTACTATACCGTTTTTCTAGATACAGGGAGTCCTCGGATTTACGACGCCCAACTTACGTTGGACGCCACTTAGGTTGCTTTTCAATTGACTGCCCTTTTCACCCCATGACATTGATTCGCCCTTACGACGCTGGATTTGCATAAAGTTGCTTGAAATCACTTCCTGGTTGCATTATAGTGGTATGGAGCTGGAAGGAGTCGCTTCTGATTGGCTTCAAGGCAGCAGGGTAGCTTGTTGCCAGGTAGGGTTGCCACTTATTTTTGATTGGCTGAACCCGGGACAGGGAGCCAATCAGAAAGCTTGAACAGTGATTGGCTGAGATTCAGCATGTGTGCTGTTCTCCCTGGCTTTCTGAGCAGCATATGTGAGTTTATATGATTATTTGAATGCTGTTTAAAAAATACAGTGTACAGTAAATACATTGATGTTGCAACATTTGTCATCTATAATTCATTTAGTACAAAAATCTGGGTTACTGTGGTGAAAATAGCGTATCAAACCTTGGTTCGGGAACCAATCCCCCCTTCATACCATTGATTCCTATGGGAAAAGCAGTTTCGACTTACAACGTTTCGACTTACAATGCAATTCTCAGGAACGAATTGTGTCGTAAGTCGGAGGACTCCCTGTATTGAACTCTTGAGAGGATCCAGAAAAAAATCAAAAATGTTATTAACATTAGTCCTTGCAACAGCCACCACATTTACAGGATCACTCCTCGCAGGAAACCAGGGCCATTAAGTCACTTGGAAACCTGATGGAGAAGGACAGTGACAATGCCTGGATCTATATCAAACACATACACAACTACATTTGAACAAACACAGCTGAAGGATGCCAGGAATGAAAAATAGCATCAGGTAACTTGTTTAAATATTGTCTTAGATCTTTCACATTCCGTAAGGCTGCTTGGTATGATTCATTGCATCATGTGATACCAAGAATTCAGATCTTGGCATTAAAGGTTTGGGAATGGCAATTTCTTAAACATTTTACTATTACTGTCAATGAAAACTGCCTTTTGAATGAGCAATATTCTCTATCTGTGTGGACAAAGAACTTATCACTATTATACCTAAGCATTAAAAATATGAGATTTGCCTGGAGGAGTAAAAAAGCTACTTATGTATTATGATTTTAGAAGTCATCTTTAAGCCATAATCTGCAAAAGCACTTGCTCTGTTTATTAAAAATTATCAAAACAAATTCTACAGGTCAATGAGGCTTAACCCTAAACATCTGAAATTATGAGGATTACTCTGTGCTCCGGATATACAAGGCCCTTTTTTGCAACATGTATTATTCTGTGGAGGATATCAGCTCCCCTTAATAGGTCACACTTATCCGAAGAGCTGGAGCCAGGTCAAACTGCATATTAAAAAAAACTAAAAACAAAACCCCACAATAAAACACTGCTGGTTTCCATGTAGCTAATTATGTTGTCCCCCATATAATACAGTATCTGAGAGCCTCCCAAATGCTTAAAAATAGAAGGAACAGTAAATCTCCCTTCCCTCCTTTGTAGACTTTAGGAGAAATAGCTAGAAAAACATGTGCAGATTTGAGAAAGTTGAGCTGAAGAATAAGTTTTGCACCTTGCTCTGAAAATGGCTGCTTCTGGGGTCATGCTTACCTTTTCCATAGGTTCCATACTACAGTTCCTGTGAAAGTTCCTTCTTTCCACACTCACAAGCCACCCCACTACAGGTTGAAAGTTTGACTGTTTTGAGTAAAGCAGCTGTCATGAGAGGATATGGTAGAGCTTTCAGGTAGGTAGGGACAATGTCATGAACGGTTTTCAATATCAAGACGGAGCTCTTTAATTGCACTCTGTACTCAGTATGCTAATGCAATGGGGAGGTGTGTTCATGATGATCTGTACTGTTCAGCAAATAGCTACCAAGTTTGATCTACTGCACATTTGTTGCTACTTTGATTTGTTCAAAGGTTCAATAATAAAAGAGAATACTTTGCAAGAAAAGGCAAGCCCTAAAAATCTGGTCTACTAACACAACTCTCATCTAAGCCTGGCTCCTGTGTGTGAAGTTACAGGTGATCAGCCAGGAATAACTTGAGTCCACATAGCAAAACAACCTCCAGGCAAAGATCACATGTACAAACCATAAAGAACTAGAAAGTATTTTTAGGAAATTAATGTGTAATGGAACATGATTTACTAAAGTACATGTTATTCCTTCAATGACTTATAGACTAATATTTGCTAAACACTAGGCCTTTGTTAATTTAACATTTTGCTATTCCTAAGACAGAAAACCTCTAAACTAAAAACTTTAGAGACAGAAAATCATGCCTCCCTCACCATTTTTCAACATTTTTGCAACGTTTCAATCAAAAAAAAGGTTTCATTTGGGCCAAATGCCAGGGGATTAGTTCTAGAACATAACTTACCTCTTCATTAATGTCAATAACATCCCCCACCTTGAGCTCCAGTTCATCCTCGTTCTGTGGAATATACTCAAACAGCACTTTACACTGCCGCTTCTTTAACTCTGGTGGAAGGGACATTATAAAAACATCATTAAAGTGAAACTGCCTAAAAATAATGGTGTACTTTTCCATATTCAAATCTTTCAAGGATCATATTTGATGAGAACACCTGTAAATCATCCCAAGGTGCTAACTACACTTCCTTAGTTTCTAGTTTTCCAGTTGTCCATTTACATTAGTATAAATCCAGCTTGCCCTGAGCTAGGTAGACCTTTACAAATACTGACTGCTTCCATTTGTGAGCTTAAACTCTGCCAATTACAAGGGAGTAAACAGTGTACTGCCAATTACCAGCACGTTAATACAAAGTTTTATTGACATAATTGAGTCATAGATTAGCCGTTCAATTATTTTCAAGCTACTTCCTGTGAGAAGACTGCAACAATCAAAACCGCTGTCAGCTACCTGCTACCCACAGCATGGATCTAGGCGAAGGGAGTAATTCTGGTGCACATTTATGAATCTGAAGTTTTATGACTACACTTCTCGCAAACACCCATCCCTACAAAAATGTCAGATGATCTGCAGAGCAATGAAATGCGGACATCCTTTGCATGAAATAAACATACTGTGTTAGGTATTCATTTGGGGGTAATGATAATATTTGTTTTGCCAGAACATTCAGAACCTGATAAAAAAGGCATCTGTTTCACTGGACTCCGGGGAGTACAAAACTTTTCCCAGTTCCAGCATGTAAATCAGGATACAAAGCCTATCATTCAATCAATCAGTATTAAGTGGCACAAAAAGAATCTAGGACGAAAAGGATACACAGCTATACAAATATTAAAAGACAGAAGGCATCATGGTAAGAGACAGCTCAAGCAGCTTGCAGTAGCACCACAAGCCAAATTTGTACATGTCACAAGGTTACAGTTTTCCAGATTAATATTGAAATGACACCACTGTAGAAGTCTTGATGGTTTCTTCTTTCCCACTACAAGGAGAACTTCTAGAAGTTTTCCAGCTAATAAGATGATCATAAACTTTCCAAGGCAACTTCCATCTTGAATGAACATTTTCATTCTGGGTATATTAACAGGAGTGTTGTATGTATGATACAGCAGGTAACTGTCCTGCTTTATTCAGCACTGGTTTGGGCACCACACTTAAAAAAAAAAAAAAAAAAAGTGGACAAATTGTAGAGTGTGTCCGGGGGAGAGCAACAAAAATAAGAAGTTTAGAAAATCTGACCTATGAGGAAAGGTTAAAAAACTGGGCATGATTAGTCTTGAGAAAAAAACGACTGAAAAAGGGACCTGACAAGCATCTTCATAGATGTTAAGTGATGTTATAAAGAGGATGGTGATCAGTGGTTCTCCATATCCACTGAGATAGGACAAATAGTAATAAGATTAATCTGCAGCAAAGGAAATTTAGGTTAGATATTGGGGAAAACTTTCCCACTATAAGGATGGCTAAATTCTGATATAGGTTACCAAGGGAGGTTGTGGAAACCCCATCACAGAAGGTTTTTAAGGACAGGTTAGACAAACACATGTCAAGGATGTATACTTGGTCCTGCCTCAGTAGAGTGGGCTGGACTCTGAGGTCCCTTGGAGGCCTCTTGAGGTCACTTCCAGCCCTACATGTCTATGATTTTATTATTATTTGTATTCCAGTACTGCCCACCTACTGCTGGGCGCTGTCAACACATTAAGACAGTTCCTGACACAGACACCAAAATTTAAGAACATATAAAAAGGCATGGGGCAACAATCTTTACTTACATGATATACTTTTTGTTACTTAAGTACACAGCTGCTACACTTGGCTACCCCCAACCTCTACACCTCAGAAGGAGAAAAGCTACATGCCTTCAATAAAGCCTTAAAAGTTCACTTTACCAGTTGAAAAGATCTAAAAGCTGCCTCCGAGATTACAGAACTGCCCCAAACTTCCAATTAGGATCGAGAACCTATTACCTTAGGGGAAATATAAATACATAGGAAAACATGTTTATAATCTAAAAGAGCCAGAAGATAGGTAAGACAAACAACAAGCAATATGTTTAAGATCCATATACTGTGGGTTACTTTCTAAAAATCTTTTCCCTAATCTGCCCCATTTCCATACTGATCCAATGCCATTGCTACCAAGACAATATACCCACCGGGCCAGAAATAGATTTTGGTTCAGTGCAAGAGTGTGTTTAAAAAAAAACCCCACATACATCCCAATCAAGGAGTGTTCTTGTGTTACTAATTATTGAAAGTGTAAAGGGCCTCATTGGCCTCTCCTGCCCCTCTGCTATCTTCCAGGAAGCTCCAGTTGCCCTCCCTCACATGGTGGAATGAGGGGGATGTGCCTACACATGCTTTGTGGCCCTCTTGGGTCAGGAACAGAGGCCAGCAAGAATTCAAAAACTGGCTGAATGTGTGGTCAAATGCAACATGGTTCCACCACTCTACTTAAAGGGACAGTGCTGGAGAGGCTAAATGGTACAGAAGCAGCTTGTGGTGTTCTGGTGATGTACTAGTACTTCATGTAATTTCATAGTTATGATTCACCCAGAACAGTGGTCCCTAAACTATGGGGAATGCCCCCTAGGGGGGCATGAAGGAACGTTCAAGGTAGTGCAGTGGGGCCCAGGTCCGCCCCCCTGAGAGGTTGGGAGGGATCACCACCCAGCTCCGCTCCAGCACGGCCACAGCACAGCCCACAATCCCAGCCCCAGGCCCGACCTGGCTCCCAGCCTCTGACCCAGCTCCTGCAGGGGCATGGACAGATTACGGTATGAGTGGTGGTGGAGAAAACGCGACAAAATGTTTGGGTACCACTCATCTAGAGGGCTATTTCACCAGTAGAAAGCCATAGCTATGAAATGTAGGCCTCACTTCATAGCTAAAATGTAGCTTTTATTCTAGCACTTTATAGCCATACCCAATGTTCACATGTATTAAGTCTTCCAGGGATGGAAGATACTATTAAGTGAATTTTGATGACACTTTGCTCAAGTTCAAAAATATTTTAACTCAGTACAATAGAGCATCTTTTAATAATATGGCTCCGAGTAGGATCTTGTCACAGGAAAGAGCTCTTTGTCTGCCCTGCAACGACTTACCAAGGCTGCTGAGTCAGCCACATTTTGGACTAAGGAAGTTAGTGATCTTTCTTCTCTAAAGGTCATGAGGGAAGCAGTTCCAAAATTGGGTCTGAAGTTCCCTCAGATGCTGACTCAAGTTCCTGACGACGTCTAAATCAAGAGGAAATTACACCACGTTTCTGCCTCGTGCTCAAAGAGACCAGTTTCCAAGCTTCCTTAAGAATGCTGCTTCTTTGTCAAGCTTACACAAAACATTCATATTCTGCTCCTGGAGAGAAGCTCATTCAGATGCTCAAGGCAGTCAAAGATAAACATGCCACTTAAGATTAATATAGAAAGCATGAACAAAAGGAGATTGCTGATCATTCAGGGAAATGTACATTTCCACTCAATCTGAAGAGTCTTTAGCATATTACCTTGTGAGAGCCACCTCACTTCAGTGGGGAAAGGGAAGTACTGATGAAGAGAACCCATGTCATCATAGAGCAATACAAAGTCAAAATACATTGGAGCTCTTTTAAATTAAGTTCACTCCTTTAACAACTTCACAAAGAACCAGCACAGTCCTTCATGCATTTTCTTAGTGGCAAGAGCCGGGCAGTAAAAACAGTAAAGCCACAAGGCATTAGGTGCCACATTTCTGGCTGCTTAAAAATATTTCTGTGCTAAATGCCACACTGAGCCTGGAAATGGGAGCAGTCAACATAAATCTGCATATAGCTTAATTTTTGTTTTAGCTTTCTGGTTTCTTTTTCTGCTCATTCAGAAAGTTTTTCAATTAATGTTCCCACCTCAGAAACTTTGCCAGGTAAGACACTGCACATGTAGCGAAAGCACTTACTTGCAAAAAAAAAAAAAATTGCCTAGGGAGGTTGTGGAATCTCCATCTCTGGAGATATTTAAGAGTAGGTTAGATAAATGTCTATCAGGGATGGTCTAGACAGTATTTGGTCCTGCCATGCGGGCAGGGGACTGGACTCGATGACCTCTCGGGGTCCCTTCCAGTCCTAGAATCTATGAATCTATAAAAGCCACAGAAGTCCTCCCCAAAAGAATATATAGTAAAATAACTTTGTTTCACATTAAAATAGATATTAAAAGCAAAAAAAAAAAAAAAGTAAAGACTTTTTAAATGTTAAATAAAGGCACTAGTGACCGCAAATATAGATAAGAGGTATTGTCCCAGTGCTTTTAGGAACAGTCCTAAAGAATGGCCACTCTCAGTATCGTTGGAGAAGAATGTGCACAACAGTATTCTTCAGTCACCTTGGAGGAAGTTAACTGCCAAAGAAGCAGCTCTCTATTGGCAGTTTTTAGGAGAGAATATAGCAACATAGGTGGCTGTCAAAATAAGGAAAAGTCAAATTACATAAAGAGTAATTGTCATAGGGCATGCCTGCCCTGCCTCTCACTTGCTGGCCAAGCATACTTCTGCAGGTGCTCCCTGCCTCCATTTCCCATCCCCCAGGTTTTCTGTTTCTCCCAGGGATTCAGGTGACTCAACCCTCTGGCTGGGTCACTCAGAGTTCAATCTCCTTTTGGAGTAACAAAAGACCAAAAGTACTTTTGCCCCACTTGGGCTCCTCTTCAGCCTGCCTTCTGGGCTCCCTGTGAGGGCAAGTCTACGCTACCCACCGGATCGACGGGTAACGATCGATCTATCAGGGGTTGATTTATCGCATCTAGTCTAGATACGATAAATCGATCCCCAAGCACTCTCCCGTCAACTCCAGTACTCCACCGCCACGAGAGGCACAAGCGGAGTCTACGGGGGAACGGCAGCAGTCGACTCAGCGCCGTGGTAAGTCGACCTAAATACGTTGACTTCAGCTACGCTATTCTCGTAGCTGAAGTTGCGTATCTTAGGTCAATTCCCCCCCCCCCAGTGTAGACCAGGGCTGAGTCTCTGCACTTTGGAATATAGCACAGACTCCCAAGCTGCTTCCCTGGAGTCCC